CGGAGACTCGGCGCCGACATCGACACGATATCCTGAGCGACACTTGTCGCACACGCACCGGGCATACTGAGCGCGCCCAAGAAACGTTGCGCAAGCCCAAGTCGTCACTGCCGGACTGCCATCGTTGCAACGCCAGACCTGCGGCAAGAAGATGCTATCCGTACCGACCCCGACCCCAATCACCATCTCCGACGGCATTTGCGATTGCAAGTGTCCACTCCACGGCCCTGGCAATCCTCTTCCTCATGCGCCGACCACGCTCTATCCGGAGCCAACGCCTCCGCGGCCGCCAATACGAACGATTTCGCGCAGCACGTCCACGGTCGACGACTTTGTGCCCGATTCGACGATAACGTCGTGCTGCTGCGTGCGAGTGCGACTCCGGGACGCAACGCTCCTCGTTCTCGGCATCGACTTTGTCCTCTGCACCGTATCCCTCGCCATGGATCTCGGTGTGGGTGACCTTGTCCCATTCTCGGCCCAGGAGACGGCGCTCATGTCGGTTCAGCTCGCCATTGCGATTTGGGGGCTGGCTGCTGCGTTTTACCGACACGCGCTGCTGTTCTACGCATTCTCGTTTACGTTCACGCTATTTGCGATCGTTGTTGAATTGGTGTTCGACGAGGATGGTAGCAGTAGCTGCTTACGCATGTCGATGACCTATTTGTATTGGACTTATGGCGCCGCGCTCAAGAGCGATGCGGATGCGGCCAAGAGGGCAGCAAGGTGGTCATCGGTTGAGGACGGGTTGGCCAGTCCAGGCGAGACGCAGACAGTCGCGCCCAAGACCAAGTCGGCTTGAATGTATTTGATCATTGTGGACTCTGGAGCGTCGTTGTTGGGTGGAGAAGGAGCGCTGAAGCATCAGGAACCTTGGGCAAGTCGTTGACGCGCGCCCAGGCTTTTTCGTGGGGAAAAACACGAAAGCATCGCGCGGTTCAAAATTGCGAACATGGACACGACGCCAGAAAACTTCCAGAAACGTCATGCTCGTCACGGGTGAACAGCACCTACCGGTGCTGGGTCGTCGTCCTGCACAATGTCAGGGAGAGGCTCCATGAGCTCGACGATCATGCCTCCGCGTCGTCAGCTTGCAGTTTGCAGCGACGCAGACGCATGATCAACCGTGTCGTTCCCCTCGCCCCACGATCAATGCGTGTTCTCGGAGGGAACGCTGGTCTTGGGGCACGTCGACCCAACTCCAGCGCACCCTGATTCCCAGGTAGGACGGAAATGGTCGTCATGGATGGCCACGGAATGCATCGCGCAGGTATTTGAGCTCCTGGCTCGCGCGCGCGAGTGATCGTTGGTCACCGCGTATCATTTTCAAAGTCGCCCGTCGACTGTTTGTGGCACCAAATATTCGCCAGGTCTGGGAGAATGGTGGCGAAGTCGGGCAACGGCAGCCGCATAAGCAACAAGCAGGCAGTCATACACTTTTGCTTTGTTTTGCTGAAGCGGCCCGCGGTTTCAAGTTTTCGGTCAAGAAGAACGAGAGAATCGGTCCGCGCCACTTGAAAGCACATGCCAACTCCAGGCGCCGGCGACGTCGCCACACGAAAGACGACGAACCGTGAACCCTTTCGTCCGTTTTAACATACAGTGGGAGTCGCCCACGAACGCCTATAAATACGCAAGACCCGACCCGCGTTCTATCGACGTTTTCCATCACTTCTGCTCGACAACGGCACCTGCAAGACAGTCCCACATACACGACGACCATGACTACCACGGACGTCCCGCTTCCTTCTACCGCTGCCGATCCGGCAAGCATCGACCGCGACGCGACCTCGAACGACGCGCCGGTAACCACGCCCAAGCCCAAGGCAGTGTCCGGCCAAGACGAGTCGACGAACTGGTCGGAGAAGAACACGACGTGCTGCGGTTGCATCGAGATCCGTGTCGGCGTGATCGTCCTCCTCGTTCTCGGCCTGATTCTCGACGCTTTTTTGATCGTGCTTGGAATTTCTCAATCTGCCTACACCGGGAATCCGGTGAAGATTGTTTTCGACGCGATCGGCGTCGCGTTCACGCTTTGGGGGCTCATTGCGGCCATTCAGCGACTTGCGGGCCAGTTTAACGCGTTTGCGCACATCAACATGTTGCTCGTCGTGATCGGCATCGTTCTCAGCCTCTCGTCTGTCGGTGTGTTTGGGCTGCTGATCATGTTGATCGTTGCGCTGCTCCCGATCTACTTCTCGTTCGTGTACTGGCAGTACGCCGTCGTGCTCAAGAACCAGAGCACCCAGGAGAACCAAGCGCGGTCGATTGAGGGTGGCGACACGGGCAAACCCACCGCACCTGCTGCTGCACCTGGCGGATCGGCGGCAGCGGGTGGTGGGTCGGTGTCCGTTTGATTAGAAATTGATTGAGGAAGCGTGCGCGGGTTTTGCTTTTCAGCGTTTTTGTTTGATACGGTGGAGTTGCATGGAACGCATTTGCGTGCATCACGCCGTGTCCGGCGGTTTTTGTTGTCATGTTATACACGTCATGTTTTCCCATCGTTGGCTGCAGTGCAGCAACTACAGGGCTGATGAGCGATAATTTTGGCAATGGATGGTAGCGTTTGGACGACCACTTTTGTGTACCTCCGTCCTGAATTATTCAGAACCGGCTCGAATGCGCTGCTCAAGTCGTCGCTGCCAGTCCGACCTGCCTGTTGCCACTCGGTCGATGCAGCAGGAAGGGAAGGCGGCTCCTGTCGGTCCATACTTGAACGCGATGATGCTGTTGAATCGCACCATCTTCTGATGCTGACACAACCCTCAGTTATTATTGTATGGTTGCGAGAGTAACGCGCAGGCTTTGGTGAGCGTGCAAACATTCAATCAATTCTGAAAATTGGGATCTGGCAATGCATGAAGTTACGTTGGATAATTCACTCCTGCAACCAAGTTTCACCACCTCCGCGCAGAATCCAGCCCAAAGTTATTGCACAGTCCGCCGAATGGCCGTTACAACAATTTGAGCTTGGCTCTGCGTTTCTGTGCACACAGTCCTGTCAAGCTGGACCTGACTGCTTCTCGTGTCGTGGCTTTCAGCGAGTGGTGCCCAAAAATGGGACTATCGCACAATGTCCATGTTTCTTGGCCTTCTCCACCCAAAACATGGATCATGATCATGATGAGCGCTGCATGGCCAAACGTCCCCAGCTGCCTCCACAAAAACAGTCACAATTCCCTGCACTTGATCTCTCGTGGTCCGCAAGCTTCCATCGCTCGGCCATTCCCGTTTGGTGAGATTATACCAAGACTTCCCATGTCGACGGTTAATTAAATGGCCCTCGGCTCATTTCTGATGTTGGAGTCTGCATTTCAAACGTGGGAATACTGCCTCCAATTTGCTGACGCTGTCAAGACGACCATCGACTAGAATTTTACACACAAGGAACTTGACAGGCCTGGCGCTCTTCGCACCACCGTCCCATGCAAAACAGGTCCGACTACGCGTGCGTTCCCGGTTCACGCGGCCCTGGTCGTGCAAGCATTCCGCGAGCTCCCGATGTCCCACTGCGCGCCGTGATTCCTCGTTGCTGGACGTTCGGGGCTTGCTCTCGCAAAGTGCGCGGATTCGAGGTGGCAAAAACGGCATGCCAACCTGGACGTGCACGCAGCGCGGAGTGCACCACCACGAAAGGGTGGCGAAACCGTATTTGTGCGCGTTAACTGCGGCGACGCCTTGCGCTTAATTGAGAAAATGTGAAGTACGAGGAAAACGTCGAAGTGAGGCGACGATACAACTGATCCGACGATGGCACAGGCAGTTGAGCTCTGTTTCGTCGCCTCGTTTTTTGCCCTCGCGCGCGACGCGTCGTATTTTTGTGGCGGAACATCTGACTCCCTCAACGATTCCACGAACAGTGCTGGCGACCAAGTCGGCTCGATGAAAGTCTCGCTGTGCTTGGCCGCGCTTGGCACCTGGCCATGCCGAACGTGCAGCGGCATGAGCGCGCGCCTATAAGTTGCCAACGCCGCCCGCCGCCCACCGTCTGGGTCCAGCCGTTTTTAATACCACGGCACCGACCCGGCACATTTCACCACCACCAACGACGACCACCATGACCACGACCGACGCTGCTGCCGCCGAAACGACACCGGCGCTCGCCGCTGCCGTCCCCGCCCCCGCTCCGGCCGCCGCCCCTGCCGCCACGACGCCGACGACCGACAAGGAGGTGGCAACGGAAACCAACGCGACGTGCTGCGGGGTTATCGAGATCCGCGTCGGCGTGCTCGTCATTTTGATTTTGCAGCTCATTCTCCAAGTCATCCCGCTGCTCATCACCCTGGTCGCGGCCGCGTACCTCGGCGCCCTTGGCATTATCGCACTGCTCATCACGATCATCAGCTTCGGGCTTACGTGCTGGGGTCTCTACTCGGCCATCAAGCGTATCGGACCGCACTTCAAGCTGTTTGCGATGATCAACATTGGCCTGTTCGTCCTGGGCGTGATTTTCGACATTGTCTACAGCTTCCGCGCGTGGGGCATTGTCTTTTGGCTCCTGCGCGCCTACTTTTGCTACGTCTTCTGGATTTATGCCGAGATTCTGCTGCGTGCGAACGCTGCCGACCGCGGTAACATTGAGACTGGGTCGGGTGCCGCCGCTCCTGCTCCCACGGCGGCGCCAGCAGCTGCCGCACCTGTCGCGCGCGCAGTCGAGCCGACTCCGGCCGCAACTGTCGAGGTCGCCGCTGCTGTCCCGGCTCCTTCGACGCCCGCACCCGCCGTTTTGCCCGTAATTGCGCCCTCGGCCGAGCCAATTATTGTCGCGACGTCGGCGGAACCGTCGGCGCCACCCGCGCCTTCTGAGGTTGTGGAGAAGCAGTGATTTTGTTTTTGAAGTCGTGCGAGAGGAGAAGGATAGAAGACGTTGCTCGAGCCCAATTTTGAAGAGAATAGAGGCCTTTCGTCTGCAGTCAGTTGTTCCCTCAGCCCGACGACGCAAAATAACACGAAGAGGCTGAAGAACGGCCATTCCTTCGAAAAAACACCAAAAAGCATCCTGCCACAGCCGAGGATTGAACTCGGGGCCTTTTGTTTACAAGACAAATGCTCTGCCACTGAGCTACAACGGCTTGCTTGGTGGTTTTGGCAATCAAAATGTATTCTGCCCGAGTTTTGGCCAAAATGCATTTCCGGCCATTTTTCCTACACAACGATCCGTCACCAATTTATGAAATATTTGCATGCTCACACCGCATTCGGTACGCGTCATAGTACCCGAACATATCTTTCGTGATCCGCCGCGGCAACAGGCAAGGTGCCTGAGGGCGAGGGTGACTGGTGTCGATTTCCTTCAGTTCTGATTTCTGTCCCCTTTTGGCTGAAGTCGCTGCCTTCCGTGCCCCCAATTTCTTCAACAGATTCTCCGCTTTGCGTGAAATGGCCGTTTGGCCGTTTTCGCGGCTTACTTTCCACACGATCAGCAGAACAGTACGCAGCGCCTCGTGCTGCAGCTTGCCGACGCCGAGCGGTGCGCGGCGGTCGTGTCCACTGCGCTTGAGGGTGTGCCGTATGCGGCGGTCATGGGGCTCGCAGGTCACGGCGTGTCGTGCCCGCTTGCTTGCGTCACGTCGTGCGACCAGAACGCTGTAACGTGTGTCAACTCCGGCGAGGCGCTTTTCGGCCAGCTCGTGACGCGTGTCGTTCTCACCGAGATGCCCGGGACGCGGGACAAGGACGGCCCAAGTACCTGTGCGGGACCAACGAAACGCAGGACCGCTCCCTCGCTTGCCCACAAAGCGCGGATGGCCAAGCGCGCGTCATTGTGCAACTTCGCACCGGCGTCGCCACGGGTTCCCCGAATGCAGTGGTTGCTGCCACACGACCCGGGCCGGATCCAGCTCCGCCGTCTTGCCTCCACAACGATTACGCGCGAGGTGGAGAGAGAGTTGTCCCCGGTCGCCACGAACGACTCCCAGTCGGACAAGGCCGCACCGCCGCGCCCGCGCCGTACGCTCGCGCATTTGTTCGACTTGTGCCCGAACGCAATCCAGGAGCTGCGTCACCGAGGTGCAATTTTGCACTAGTTTCAGTAACTACATTGATTTTGCTCCGCGCTACGCAATACTCGCAAGCCCACACCGCGCGCGGTATGCATCATAGTACCCGAGCATCTCCTTGGTGATCCGCCGCGGCAACTTGCGCAACGCCTGCTCAAAGTCCTGCATCTCGACTTGTGCCACGTCCATGTCGCGGTCGAGCGCCTGCATCGCCGCGTCCTGGCACAGCTGCACGACCTCGGCGCCCGAGCACCCCTCCGTCTTGGAAATACGCAACATAAAGTGAGTGGGGGGTTGCCGAACGGCGGTGCGAGGGGAGGTGAGAGCGCACCTGGTCGGCGAGCCGCTCCAGATCGATGGGACCACACGCCATTTTGCTCGTGTGCATCTTGAGAATCTCGAGCCGCGACGCGCGGTCTGGTGGGCCGACGTACAGGATCCGGTCGATGCGGCCGGGTCGAAGCAGCGCCGGATCCTATCAACGAACGGGTCGAAGTCAGTCAATGATATGCACCGGAATCAACAGCGGCGCTAGAACGAACCATGATATCCGGCCGGTTGGTCGCGGCCACAATCGTGACATTGACGAGCGGCTCAATCCCGTCGAGCTCGCTCAACAACTGCGAGAGCACGCGGTCGCTGACCGACGAGCTGTCGCCGCCCGACCGGCGTGTCCCAATAGCGTCGATTTCGTCCTGTTGGTTGTCATTTGTCAGCGCCGAGTGTATACGGTCGGGGAGTTAACCGAACGGAGCGTACGAAAAAGATGATCGACGGTGCCGCAGCGCGCGCCTTGCGGAATACTTGCCGCACAGCCTTTTCCGAGTCGCCGACCCACTTGGAAAAGAGCTACAGGGGCCAGGACATGAGTATCGTATCAACCTTTCCTCACCGTCGAATTAACCCTCGTGCGAACCTCGGGGCCCTTGACGGCCAGGAAATTGAGCTGCGACTCGTTGGCGAGCGCCTTGGCAACCAGCGTTTTGGAGCACCCGGGCGGGCCGTACAGCAAAATGCCCTTGGGTGGCGAGATCCCGAACCGGATAAAATCATGCGCACGCTATGTGGTCGCCACTCTGATCAGTTTCGAGTTGAGTCGTTGAAATCAAGCGCACCAAGAGCATGGCCAAGCGCACCTTGAGCGGCCACTCGACCGACTCCTTCAGCGCCTGCTTGATGTGTTCGTTACCGCCAATATCGCTCCACTTGACGTCGGGCACCTGGACAATGGACTAGAGGGTCACGGCACAGGCAAGAGTGAGCACAAGTTCTCCACGACGGGTTTCGCAGGGCAGAGTGAGAACGTACCTCGCGCATCGCGCTCGGCGCGACCATTTTACACGCAGCCGCGATATCGTCGGGCTCAATGCACACGTCTCCACTCGCCATGACCGCATCGATCCCACTCGGCACCTTGTCGGCTGCTGCCATGGCGCGGGTCACAGCGCGCACGCCGGCCTCCCGCACCACGCTCGCGATATCGGCGCCGACATACCCGTGCATCCTCGCCGCCACTTCGACCATCTGCGCGTCGGTCATCCTGTGCCGCACCTTGGCGAGCACCGCGCGCAAAATCGCCGTGCGCTGCGCCGGGTCCGGAATCCCAACTTCGAGTTCTGTGTCGAACCGACCAGGACGGCGCATCGCGTCGTCGAGCGCGTTTGGCCGGTTGGTCGCGCCTATGACGAGCACGCGGTCGTAGTGGTTCGCATCTGTGGTCGCGCCATCGAGGAGCGTCAGGAGCGTGGCGACGACGCGCTTTTCCATTTCGGTCGGTGACTGGTCGCGCTTTGGGCACAGTGCGTCGATTTCGTCAAAGAAAATGATGGTCGGGGCCTTGGCGCGCGCCTCGTCGAAAATGGCTTGCAGCTAGCAAACGGTACGGTCAGTTTCGTGGATGGGACGGCGTCGCGCGTTCAAGCAAACATCAGGGTACCTTTTCCTCGGTCTCGCCATAGTACTTTGAAATGATTTCCGGGCCGTTAACGAGAATCACATGGCACTGCGTTTCGTGGGCAATGACGCGCGCAATCAGCGTCTTGCCCGTGCCGGGAACGCCATACAGGAGCAGGCCGCGCGGCGGGCGCAGATTCAGCCGCGTGTACTCGTGCGGCCGGAACAGCGCCGACGTGACCATGGCGCGGATCAGCGCGAGCTGGTGGTCGAGCCCGCCAATTACCAGTTCGGACGGAGCCGACGTCGTCGGTGTAATCTGGAAATTGATGGTGGGACAAGGCGCCGGTCAATTTCTCGATTCGCCCCAAGCACGTCAAGGATTGGGTGGAGAGCAAAGGGTACCTCGGCCTTGTTTCGTTGGCCTCCTTGAACGACCACTTTCGTCGCCTCCGTGAGGGCAAAGGCGGTGGACGCGCTTATGGCGACATCGCTCACGGGCTTTGCGTGCGTGACCACGACCTCGACAGGCGAGCCCTGCATTGGAAGCGTAAGGACGCGACCGCACGCCACGGCATCCATTTCGACTAGAGACGTGCAGTGATCAGTCGTGTTCCACGCCGAGCGACTGAACTGTTCAGCGTACGCAAGGACTGGCGCAGGTACTCGAGATACGGACGGGTAAGTGTGACGGGGCAGGACACGGTCAGCGACTGTGCCTCGAAGAGCGGCTCGTCCAGCCGGATCACCTCAAGTTGTGCGCCAACGGGGCAGCCGAGGCTGATCAGGAGGTCGGTCGGGACTTGGATGACTGGCCAAAGAGATTCAATCCGTCGTCAGGTTCCAGACGCATCGTTGAACGAAAGTCGCCCCTGGTCAGCCGCGTACCGTTACCGGGCACGCTCGAACTGGCCCAGAGCTTGGCGACGGCAAATCGCTCTCCTTGATCGTTCACTGGATCCGGAGCATCGCGCTCGCCTGGCTTCCTAGCAGCTTGAACATCAGGCACGCGCTCTTGCTCGGCAATTTTGATTTATCATGATCAGGGACCCCAGCTTACCGCAACGCGGAGTCGAACCCATTCGCGAAGCCCCGCTCCGAGGACGCCAAGGATCCGGGGCGCGACCTGTACGCGGTCACCCACGGGCGCGTTGGCGCCAACGCCGAGCGTGTTCTGCGCCCAGTTGTGGGCAGTAAGCGTGATTGCTGTCATGATCGTCGAACTTGCAGAATATCGTTCGCCGCGCGGTTGCACCACAAGCCAAAAGGTCCGAAACTTGCCAAAAGTCATGACACAAATGCAGCTCGTGTTGCTGTCATCCCCACATGACCGTGAACTTTTGCATTCATTCTGTCTCGTTCGGCCAGCAGCGTTCGAACCGAAAACCATCGCCCAAACTGTCAGCGTTTGCGAGTGCGACTACCTGCAATGGGTGGCAAACACCATCTTCAACGAGGCCAAAGTGACTGTCGTGCTGAGTACTATAGACGAATTCCATTCCTCTCCACTTGTCCGCCGTGCACTTGCGCTTGATGCCGCCTCTGATCACGAATGCCGTCCATGGAGTGCCTGGCAGGACGGTGGAGCATTGCAGAACCGAAACAATGTGGGAGGACAAATGCCTCATGTGCGCATCAGCAGCCTTGGCAGTCGCGCGTCGTGTGCCCCATGCACAGGCATTGACCAACTCGAATGGGTCGATTGTGGCGCTTCGATCAACAGACCTCTCATCCCTCCCCGCACGACAATTTTTTGCGCGCCTCCCCGAGCCACCCCCTCACTTTGTCTAGCTCCCCGGCGAAATGCTTTGCTTTTGACCCCTTGTCGTTGCAGCGGGGTAGGGACGTCGTCGCTGTTGTCGGAACCAATCGATCTGTTAGCCTTGGCTGGGAAAATTTCGTTGCTCGAACACGCACCGGTGTCTCTGTTGTTTTTTGCCTCCAATTCCGCCACAAAAGACCACCCAGAACATCCCCTGGCCTCTTCGACGCGCTTGGTTTGTGCACAGATCAGTTCCAGCCCGTGGGCACGCGCGTCACTTGTCATTTTCCGCGCACTCGACTCTCTCGTCCGCTCTATCGTCCGCTCTTGCGCATCGGTTTAGACTAAGCCCGACCTCGCCTCCGTTGCACTGTAAGAGGCGCGCGACGGCGCGCCCCCCGCGCGCGCAACCAACCTC